TTCACGGGTCAGTAAGCTTGAATGACATCTTCAACTCAAATACTGTTCAGAAGTGTTCAACCCAACTTACTGCCCTATAGAGACCAATCATCACTAGAACTAGGGAGGGACCAAACTTCTGACGGATGAGACTATTTTCAGGAGGCCATTGTACAAAGTAAGCTTAGTGCTAAGGTGATCGTAACTTCCATGCCATAACATAGACTTACGACTTGCTACCAGTGCTAAGGTGATCGTAACTCCCATACCATAACATAGACTTACGACTTGCTACCAGTGCTAAGGTGATCGTAACTCCCATACCATAACATAGACTTACGACTTGCTACCAGTGCTAAGGTGATCGTAACTCCCATACCATAACATAGACTTACGACTTGTTACCAGTGCTACCAGTGCTAAGGTGATCGTAACTCCCATACCATAACATAGACTTACGACTTGCTACCAGTGCTAAGGTGATCGTAACTCCCATACCATAACATAGACTTACGACTTGCTACCAGTGCTAAGGTTGCTTTGTACGCCATCCTGGCCTTTACTTGAAAAGTGTTATTGATTAAATATATTTTATTCATGAAAGCAAAGGAGGTGGCACGTCTTATCCAATTTGGAAAATCCTTTCCCAAGTGTTATAACTGTGACATGCAATATAAAAAAACTATCATCACTTCTTGTAATACAAAAAAATATGTACATGATTTTAGTTATGATCAATAATGACGTACATAGACTGATGCAAACAGTAGGTTGTATTGTTCGCTTGTTGATTTATGCCACATTCAGCACCATGCCAGCTATATGACAGCAGTCTGTAAATAAGCAAGCCTGGACCAGACAATACAGTGATTAACAGCATGAACTTCTATTTTATAATTGGGAGACTGTGACATGCATGTTTGTTGGTTGTTTGACTCCACACGCAGCATTATTCAAGTATTGTGACGGCGGTCTGTAAATAATCAAGCCTGGACCAGACAACCAATTCTGTTAGTCGCCTCTTATTCAAACATAGGTTGCAAAAGACAAATTCTAATCCGGATCGGTTCACTGGTTATCATTACCTATCCACTTGGACCCATTTAATCCTCTCATGGGTAGCTGCAGGCAAATGTTAAGGAATAATTCCAAACAACTCAAGTGAGAGTGTAGAGGCTATGTCTACAAAGAATGAGCCTCAAATATTCCAGCAATATCACGGCCGGGGACACCAAGAAATGGGCTTCACACATTATGCCCATGTGGGGAATCGAACCAGGGTCTTTGGCGTGATGAGCAAATGTTTAACCACTAGGCTATCAGACTACCCTGTAGCAGACAGTAAACCCTGACAATAAACCATCAGCTTAACAGAATCACCAGACAGGAAGTGGCCATGGAAGACATCATTTGTCAGCCTCTGTGGATCTCTTCCTTGAGGTGACAGATTAATTTACTACAGTAGGTGGCCTGTTTGTTGCATAATACAAGTACTGAGTCGGTCAACACAACCTTGGAGAAGATATTTCAAAGACATGGTCTGCCTCAGAAAACTACAAGTGATAATGGACCTCAATTCATTTCCCCAAAATTCAGAATATTTAAAATCAATCCTATTTGACGCAGAAGAATTACACTGCATTTGCCAGCAGCAAATGGTGGCTAAAAAGAATGAATTAGGGTTCTACTAAAAGCCATCAAAGTGTTCAGAACTGGAAAGAGACTGGTAACAAAAATAACCAAAGTTTTTATTTGCCACCACCAACTCTTCACAGTCTGACAGGCAAAACACAAGCAGAGTTATTTGCTGAAAAGACAGTTCACCACGAATATTCCTGAAGTCATGGAACAGAATGATCAAGATGTAATTATAATGATAAAATAAACTCAAAGGTAAAAGTTTATGGATAAAATACTCAAGGATAATAAAGGTACTGAAATGACAGTGTGGGATGATCATCAGATCACCTGGAATTGATCCACAATGAAGGAATGAATGATGACACTTTCTGAAGCAGACGATCTATGGTATGACAGTCCAAGGGAGATAATTCAGGCAAACAGATGCCAGCAGTTCAAGATTAGTGACACTTGAATCAGTCAAGCCACTGAAGAAAGGACAAGGCTTCCAGAACATAATGACCTTAAGTGTTATAGAGAAACTGTTAATATACATGAGTTGACATATTTGGGTTCACATAACAATTTGTTCACAGTGTTAATGTTATTATTAAATGTTTAGAGGTATTTGATCAATATAGAACAAACTTTATGGATAACAACTTCTAAAATGCCACTAAAAGAAGGTATTTGATCATCTGACAATGTTGGGGCTTTTGCTGTAATGTTAGCAATTATTTTATCTGTTTGTGGTGACCAATTACTACAGCGAGTGGCCTGTTTGTTACATAATACAAGTCCTGAGTTGGTCAACACAACCTTGGAGAAGATATTTCAAAGACATGGTCTGCCTCAGAAATCTACAAGTGATAATGGACCTCAATTCATTTCATGGCTTAGTTTGTATAAATCAAAATTTATTATGCAGATATAATTACAAGTTTTTAGAAGACCAAATATGCTTTAAAGAGTGAGTGAGTGATTGAGTTTAGTTTTACGCCACTTTTAGCAATATTTCAGCAATGTCATGGCGGGGGACACCAGAAATGGGCTTCACACAATTGTACCCATGTGGGGAATCGAACACAAGTCTTCGGGGTGACAAGCGAACGCTTAACCACTTGGCTATCCCACTGACCGGTGCACAATATAGCAATAATAATCATGGAAGGATCTTTGAGAATTCAAGGTGGTACTGTAGCCAAGTATTTAAAGAGTTTGTTCATCACGCCAAAGACCCAGGTTTGATTCCCAACATGGATACAGTATGTGAAGCTGATTCGGGGTGTCCCTTGCCATGATATTGCTGGAATATTTCTAAAAGCAACTCATAACATACTTACTCCCCATGTTAAGTTCACCTCAGGGGATAGCATCACGTGTCATGTCGTCAAGTGAAGTGTCACATTGTACAGATCTTGCTGAACGTCTAAATAACCATCACATTTCTAGAAAAATTCCACCAGGCCTTTGATGGTGAAACCTCCCTGTAGTAAGTCAGGGAGTTTAGTTTTACGCCGCACACATCAATATTCCAGCTATATGGCGGCTGTTTGTAAATCGAGTTTAGACCAGAAAATCCAGTGATCAACAGCAAGAGCATCAATCTGCTTAATTGGGAACCGATGACATGTGTCAAGCAAGTCAGCAAGCCTGACCACCCGATCCTGTCAGTCGCCTCTTATGAAAAGCATGGGTTACTGAAGGTCAGTTCTAACCCGGATCTTCACGGTGAAACCTCTAGATAGACTTAGTTGTAATTTGTCTTTCCCTGAAATGTGAATGTAACGTAACTGACCGCTACAGAGAAATATAGATGTGGTAACCTAGAGCTGATGGTAAACTCCCCGACAGGAAGGGGATATTCACAAGTGACAAGGGAAATCCATTTCTAGTGACACAGGTGAACCAGCGACTGGTTCATTATCATACACACCTGCAGGAAACTTCACATCCATAATACTGACTTCAAACAGTCCTTGCGTAAGTTACGTCCCATGGCAGCCTGGAAGAAGCCTCTGCACACAGCCCTGCATTAGCAGCTTTCTCGTGTTCCGACCACAGCAATAGTTTCTGGTCTGTTGTCTCTGTTTCTCACTGTGACTGAGGTCAGCCTACCATGACATGTGTTGTTACAGGTGTAACTGAAGGGATAGCATTACTGGATAGCCTACATGGGAATAACCTGTGCTGTCGTCTGTCAGGGGAAGGAGGGAGAGAAGGAGTTATGTTCTTTGAAGTTCATAAACTGTCATAAAAGTTCACAAATACACAAGTATACCACATACCTGCATATAATGATGAACATATATTCATATATGAGAGAGAGAGAGAGGAGAGAGAGAGAGAGAGAAAGAGAGGGGGAGAGAGGGAAAGTGGGAGAGAGAGGGGGAGAGAGAAAGAGAAGGGGAGATAGAGAGAAGGGGAGAGAGGGAAAGTGGGAGAGAGGGTGAGAGAGGGAGAAAGAAAGAAAGAGAGAAAGAGGGAGGGAGGGAGGGTGTAGGGCTTGTGCTAAGTTCACGATATAGCAGTAGCATTATCATAATCCACAGAGAATGTGAAATATTGGAAGTAGATTTATATCCTCATTTGAATAACTGATGACGAGTTCTGCCAGGATGTGTCTCCACAGGGCCGTACAATATCACAGGTGTCTCATAGGCTTCATTAACCACAAGGAACATAACATATTGTCATAGTGTTGAATTACAGACATCTCTTCACATAACCGAAGCTGAATAGTTCTTAAGTGCTTAGTCGGATTGGAAATAATTACGAAGCCATAATCAGGGTCGCAGTATGGAAGTGCGAAAACATAACGTATTGGGTGGATTTAGTAATGAGTTGTATCCTTCGAGCATTTACATAGTTCCATAATGTGAGTCACAATATTTGCAGGAATATTTTGTTTTTTCTTTATGCTGCTTATTTAAACAAAGAAAATGTCAACACCTTTATCTGAAAATGAGGTAATAACTGCAAGTTGCAACACTGCAGCCACATTACAGTCACATTATCTTTCATATTAATGACGTTATATACTCCGAACTACTGTATTTACGTTCTGATTAATATTTTTGCTTTTGTGCTATAAACATAATACTTAGTAACTTTTAATACATTTCAGGCCTAATCTGGAGGATTCAGAAGTATTTTCCTATGAAGACAGGATTTGTTCGGCAAATGAATCTGAAACTCCTGCAGTGACAGAAAACAGTACAGCTTGTTTTCAAAAGAAAGAGAAAAAAGATGCAGGGCACAAATTGACATTTGAATCCAAGTGGCAAGAGGACAGGCCTTGGTTGAAATATCAAGATGTCCAAAATGAAGATGGCGTCAAATATGGCATGATGTTTTGTTCTCTTTGTCAAAAGTGGAATACAAAAGGGAGAAATGGATCCATGGTATGGAATAAGGAGGGATGTGAGACCATTAGACTTGACAAAGTGTCATTGCATGAAAACTCACCGATGCATCAAGATGCAATTTCACATGAGGAGGAGGAAGCAGTTTCAATTAAGAATGCTTTCAGGAACTTTTCTGGACAAGAAAAGGCTGCCCTAGTAGATGCACAGAAAGTTTTGTATTTTCTTATAAAGCACAACTTGCCACATACCACACTTTTTGGACCTTTAATTGATTTATGCATTGAACTTGGAGCTCCTAACATTGCCAACCTTTACTGTGGTAAGAATGCATCTTACAAGGGTCATAGGGCAATACAAGAGTTTGTTGAATGCCAAGCTGAAGTTGTGGAAGAGGAAGTGGAGAAGAAAATGAAGGAGAGCACTTCATTTGGACTCATGCTTGATGAGTATACAGATGTTTCAACGAGGAAACATCTTGCTTTTGTTGGACGTTATGTTGAGGATGGGGAGTCCAAGCTAGCTTACCTTTGTGATCAGGAAATCCTGAATGGAACTGCAGACACAATAGTTGAGTCTGTGAAGGGTTATTTGACAGAAGCAAACCTCAACCCAAAGAAGATGACATGTTTTGCTAGTGATGGACCAGCTGTGATGGTTGGAAAACGAAAAGGGGTTGTCACACAGCTGAAGAAAGACAATCCTGCTATGATCGATGTCCACTGCATCAACCACAGACTACAACTTGCCATAAGCTCTGCATTTAAATCTGTGACAGCAATTGGATGTGTTGATGAACTGTTGATGGGGCTGTTTAAATATTACCACTACAGCACAGTTAGATCGAAAAGCCTGGAGAAAATGCAGATTTTGACAAAAGAAATGGAAGGCTCAGAATCTGGAAATCCCATCACAATCAAGAAGACAGTGCATACCAGGTGGTTGAGCCATGAGAGAGCAGTACATGCAGTCAGGCAGTGTTACCCAGCAATTCTTGCAGATCTGGAAAATGCAGTTGGAATGGGCAATGACAAGAGGGCTGGTGACAAGCTTAGTGTAACTGCTGAAGGACTTTACAAACAGCTGAAGTCATATGACAAATTGTACTTCATCCTGCTCCTCTGTGATGTCTGTTCCATGTTGGCTAACCTGACAAAGCTTTTTGAGAGGAGAGATTTGGACTTGAGTATTGTTGAACCACAACTTCGCAGCAGTGTAGCTTCACTGAAGAGGATGAAGGAGAAGCCAGGCCCATATCTCTCAAAAGTTGACCAGCTCACTTCCCAGTATGGTATAGAGATGACCAAAAGCAGGCAGATAAATGTACAGTCTTCAATGGATACCTTCCTTGACCTACTGATTGGAAACTTAGAAGACAGACTGCAAGCTACACCAGTCCTCACAAGTCTGTCAGCCCTTGACCTGAGGAAAGCTGGGGATTCCTCATTTCTCACCTTTCATGGAGATGCTGAGGTATGCTTGTTGTACATGATATTGTTGCATTATTTAAAATTATTGGTAGTTAGAGTTCCTGAAAACTGAAATAAACCGGACAACATCTTTATAATGTACATGAAGTTATAAATGAAATAAACCATTTTATGATTGATTTGTACCTATATCTATATATCTATATATAATCAATAATTTCTAAACAAATATTTATTATGACTTCATTGTTGTTAATATTACAAGTAGCTATTTGTATTTTATATCTCTTACAGGTGTCAGACCTTGCAGAACAGTAATGAGTTCCAGTTGGATACATGACCAAAGTCTTCTTGAGTGGAATCAAGTGAAGGAACTCTTCTCCGATGATCTTGACACGAGCTCACCTGCAGCCATGCTCAAAACATTGACAAGCCTGAAGCCACAGCTGGGCAACCTGTATCCATGCATGGTCAAGCTGCTGAGTGTTTATGCTACAGTCATCCTGTCAACATCAGAAGTGGAGAGGGTTTTCTCAAGAGTGAAGCTCATTGTTACTGACCACAGAAACAGACTGAGTGTGAAGAACTGCAACAGGCTCTTGATGATAAGCATGAACACATCTTCCACAGCTGACATTGACATGGACAAAGTTGTTGCAAAATTCCTGTCCAGGAAGAACAGGAAAATCTGAGACTGTACAAAGAATACAATGATTTATATCAACACTTGGTTATTTTTAGTTTTTATTTTATGTCGAGGTTACGTGAAATAACTGTGCTCTTTGAGCCTTACTTGGAAATCTGTCATTGCATGCCCCTTTCGTAATAGGGGTGCCCTTTTTGAAATTCAGTTGCCCTGCCCTTTTTGAATCCTGGGGGAAACTCTATCTTTCCAAAGGTAAATGCATTCCTATACCATTACACAGTATCACAGGTATACTACAGCATAAATTAACATGCATAGCATGAAATATATGTGACATAAAGGGGAAAATAAATACATACCGTTGCAATGTTTCTCCTAGTCTGCGTCAGTCCATGAACCATTTGATTTTCCTCCCATTTGATATTGCCTTTAGTTTAATACTGTAGTTAAATGAAGCAAGTCTAGATTTTCCCCACAATCTTCAATCTCAAAGGGGCTCCATTTCTATTTAAATTGTAGTTTAACTATCAATTTGTAAGACTAGTCCTGATGACTTTTGTAAACAATAATTCACAACTCCTCAAAGCTTGTAGCTAGTCCTGCATGAAGTATGTTTATATTTCTCTCCATTACATTCAGGATCAAACTGTAGCAAACTAAAACACTATGCCCTGGTTCAGCCTTCAAATGCTAAGTATCAGTGAGGACTCTCATCACTGAATGTCTACTTGTGTCACAGTTCTGTAGTCTTGTGCTAGCAATCTGTTCATGAATTCAAAGTCTGCTAAGAGGTCCTCAGGACAAAAAAACTATCGCCATTGATCCCACAAACAATGACATCTGATAAAATGGCAAAATACAAAGGTCACAAATAGTAATAGGTGTCATAAGTGTTAATGACTAGTATTGTTGTCATGAGTCACAAAGCACTTCAAATAGTTATAATGATATCCATAATATCCGATTTAGTACTCAAAAGATCGGTGAAGGTTTTATGTTATGTAATTGATGAAAAGGGTGAGTCACCAGCGGGATTGACCCAAAAGTCTGTACTTAAGGCTAATAAACGTCCTGCTAGTACCCTGCCATGATATCACCGGAGAAATGGTGAAGAATTAAGGATTCACTGACTGACTGACTGACTGACTGACTGAGTTTGGTTTTACGCCGCTTTTAGCAATATTCCAGCAACATCACGGCGGGGGACACCAGAAATGGGCTTCACACATTGTACCCATGTGGGGAATGGAACCCGGGCCTTCGGAGTGACGTAGTACACACGTGTTGGTTCTTGGTAGGATTATAGGGCCCCGTCAACCAATACAGGCAACCAAATGGATCTAGACCTCTAACTGTGACTTGGTTGAATGGGTGACATTGTACAAATGCTCAAGACCTCGAACCTGGGTCTTCGGCGTGACGAGCCAACGCTTTAACCATTAGGCTACCCCACCGCCCCAATTAAGGATTCAATATTAACTAACAAATAGATAGTTTACATATGATTGATATAAATATATCATTCTGCAGAGCACCAGATAAGATTTAGCTCATGTGGGTACTGTACCCACTGTATTATTTTGGAAAGGGTATTACGAATGTTGAGTGGGTATTTCATTTTCCATTACCCACTGCTTTCAAATATGTGCGTATTTCAGTCATTTTACTCACCTAAGTATTGTGTCATTGAGTAAGTTTACTAAGCAGGTATGTTCTGCCTTATGTCATACCTAATCAAAACCAACTTAAATATAATGATTTCATAAAAAATCACTCATCCTATACCGACAGTACAACACTAGTCCTATACTAACAGTACAACTTGATAGCAATCGATGTCTTTTTCATTACGCAAGCGATTTTCATTATTATATATTCCGTACGCATTTGTTTTAAACTTTTTGTGTATCTAACATTTTAAATGCGTAATTGGTACGCAACAATTATTTTTCAATGCGTAATTGGAAATTTTCTATGCGTATTTTACCTGGATACGCAGCTTATCTGGGCCTCTGATTCTGTACACTTAAGGTATGTAATTTGATAGCTTCTTTATTAAACAAAGAAACAGAAAATAACTATCGCTGTAATTTTGACCTACAAAGGTAATACATCAAAAGAAATTTAAAAACATTAAGGTGTTGTCAGTAGTAAGCATAACAATCGATAGTTTCAACAGTTATAAATAGAACATATCATATGTCAGAAAAAAGTTTTGATAGTGTATTAATTTATAGGAATTGTAAAATTATACTCACTCACTCTATCTGAGTCTCCAATGGAGGAGGTGAGGTGAGGTGAGGTGAAAGATTATTTCACTCACATGACGACGTGCATGTGTGTGTATGTGTGGCTGCTTGTACTAGCCCAGACTTAAGCTGGTTTTATAGTGCTAGCTCACTGAGATACCATGCCGCAGTTAAGCATGGATACCCCACTCAGACACATTATATTGACTCCGAGCTGACCAGTCCTTGTTGTACCAATTAATGCCGAGCGCCAGGCAGGGATAAAAAAGTACCATATTTTAACATCTTTTGGCATGACGTGGCCAGGGATTGAAACTGCGACCTTCCACTCTCCGGGCGGACGCTCTAACCACTACACCACAGAGGCGGTTCCAACAGATGAAAATGGACAATATTCGCATCACTACTTCACATTGATCAATAATTTATCAAGCCTTTAGGTTGGTTTCATATCAAGAATTATAAACAATCATGATACAATTGCAATAGGGAAAATACCCCGTAATTACAAATGTGTGTCAATGGTTGCTTGGATTTGAACTGTATTTCATACAAGGCACATATGAATTTCATGACAGTATTTGACATAATATACTCTTTAAAAAAAGCAGGGGAACAGGAACTCTCAATTTAGATAGGAAGTATAAGTATTGACAACTTTTCAAAGACAGACATCTTATGAACACACCACCATTTCTCTTTATCAGCATCCCTTAACACAACGCATGGGATGCATGTCCACAACACAGTAGCCCCATACACGTGCATGGGGTGTCATTCTTGATTTGGACGGTTTTCAAAAAGGTCGATAAATCACTGCAGACCATATATTTTGACAAACATCTTGTATCACACAGTTGTTAGTGTTTGTTTCTAGCCGTTTTTAAAAAAAGAAAAGAAAAAGAAAATCGTACACATGCAAATTTCACGTCATACACCATTCATCTTTCAAGAGCGATTACTGTACAAACAACTATGGTCATAAGGAAGTGCAAGTGGTGATGCACTAGAATACATTTCTCTTCATATAACAATAGTTTCAGATACTATATTTTTAAGATCACTGCATCAGAATTCATCTCGTTATATTATTGGGTACATTTTAACTAAATCACTGGTAGGGGAATGTGTGCACTGCACAGTTGATATTTCCGGGGCTGTATATGAGACAGTTACACATGGTAATCTTAATCCCTGTGTATAAGACAATGCCTGGCAAAAACAAATTAGAACTGAATAGGTAAATAATCTTGTCTAGTAATGTTTAATTGTAAATTTGACGTCATTACTGACAAAGTCGTCTTCTCGTGTCTATTTCCTCACGTGAAGCGATACAATGTCGTTTTCTTACCCCCTGAAAAAATGTTTGACGAAAATGTAACCCGTCAATAAGCCGAACCCCTTCTATAGACTGCTATTTTTGGTACTCAAAATTCGGCTTACCTAGGGTAATATATGGTATATGCCTGTGCTAGACCTGAATTACAACCAGTTAATAGTACTATCTTCCCAGCACACCATTTCAAAGCTGAAAATGGATATCCCAAGAAGCGCACTGACTGAACCAACTAGTCCTTGTGTTATCCCTTAATACCAAGCATCAGGCACAGCAACAACAAGTACAATGTTTTAAAGGCACAATGTCACACATTTTTTACAATATTTTGGCCTGTATTATATTTATTGGGGCATATGCACTCACTTTAGCTTCCCATTGATGTAATAAAAGACTTATTATCCCTTACGACTTGCCTGAAATCGATAATTGAAACATCAAGGCGAACCGCTTGCCAAACAGAGAACACTTGCCATATATGGGATGTAAAAAATTGTTCTGTACATCGAAAACCACCGCCGTTGTCAGTGTTTGCCGAACTGGTTTCAATCACACGTTGTGTGAAGGATATTTGTAAAGAGCACTCCAAGGGACATAACTCTATGGGGTTCACTTGAAATAATGTTTGTCCGGTAGAGGTCGCGAGAGTCGATTTAATGCAACGTTGTACTAATTCATATGAACTTTTTAATTAAATATTGAAATCTAAATACGTAATTTGTTTTTGAATAAATTACATGGTATCTTCCCTGAGGGCTGATAGTTAGTATTATTGAGAGGAACACATTATTTATTTTTAGAGAAGTGTGGTGTGAACTAGTGCATTTAATCTCTCTTGCTTTTATTTGACATGCACTGGGTTTGAACCTTTTCTTCTTGAG